CTCTCTCTCTCTCTGATTTAAAAAAAAAAAAAAAAGATTGCTATTAAGAAATATACATATTTGTTGTCTAAAATTTAAATTTAATTGGGCAGGCAAAGTAGATGGCCTTTTGTCAGCTGAGGGTCTATAAGCAATCACATGAGCACTCCTAGCAACCAGGTCTTGATTTCTAAGTATTCCCCCACTCAAAAAACCCAGGGCTCCTGGGAGAAACAGCTGGTTCCAAGGCTGGACAGAATACAAGATGAACATGGAACATCTTGCTATGCCCAAAAGTAAGAATAATGTACTCAAAGAATGATGGGGACGTGTTAAAAGGACAGCTTGAGAGGGACTCCCTGTGGCAAAATCAGGAACAATGAGAAGGAAATTAATGATAGAATTATGATCTACTGAATAAACAGGAATCCATACTGAAATGGATGGATGAGGGATGGGAAATTCCTTCCTTATAGAAAAAAGTCAACTGTCAAAGTACAAGTAAAGAAAATTAGAAAACCACCATTTGGCATCCATCAGATTAATACAAGAATCAAACAAGAATCATCAATGGATGCTTTATAGGCAAGTTTGTAGAGTCAGAGTATAGGGGAGTAATGAAATACCTACATAGTCTCAAAGTATCTTAGCATAGGATGTTTATTAATTACTAAAGGAAAAATAGTAACTTTCAGTGGAGAAAGCTGGCCAACACCCCTTCACCAGAAGATCAAAGGTACAGTGGTGGGTCCCTGCTGGTATGACCTTCTGAGAGCACTGCATCACTTCTGTGACGTTCCTGCCAATGTAAACAGCCTCAATCTAATCATGAGGTGGCATCAGACAAACCCACCCTGATGAGCTTTCTACACTTCAAAAATGTCAATGTCATGAAATAAAGAAAGACTGAATGATCCTTTCAGATTAAAAAAGACTAAAGAGACAACTGGCTGCAGTACACAGCTTGGATTTTCTTTTGCTACAAAGGACATTATTAGATCTCTACATTCTGTATGTTTCAGAAGCTTAGCCACTAAAGCATTATGGATAGTAGTGAAAGACTGGAAACATCAATGTCCATCAATAATAAACTGATAAATAATATAACCAAACAACAGAAACCACTCTACAGTCAAGGGAAAAGATGATGGAGGAATCTTTTTATGTTATGATATGTAACAACGGCATTAGCTGGAAAGACAAGGTACAAAAACAGTGTTTAAAAATGGGTGTGGTACACATGTTTATTTAAATAGGAGGATATAGTATAAAATTGAAAACACCCTACATCTAAGGAGGTTTGGCTCTGTATCTGCTAGCTACAGTTAAATTACCTAGCCAGCAGTTAATTTCAGAGAACATGTACAAACACAATTGCCAGCATTCTAGGGCCCAATAATTTCCATTATTTCTTTATTACCCCACCATCACCTTTTATACTTTTAAGATTTTGAACTATGGAATGCACTACATATTCCAAAGTAAAGAATTGTTCTTAGTGTTCTGCTTAAGCATCCTGTCTTCCTGATCTTAAAAAATAAATTTTAAAAAATCATTCTTCCTTTTTTTTTTTTTTAAGATTTTATTTATTTATTTGACAGAAACACAGCGAGAGAGGGAACACAAGCAGGGGGAGAGGGAGAGGAAGAAACAGGCTTCCCACGGAGCAGGGAGCCCAATGAGGGGCTCGATCCCAGGACACTGGGATCATGACCTAAGCCGAAGGCAGATGCTCAACAACTGAACCACCCAGGCGCCCTGTCAGACCTAATTCTTAAAAGTGGTTGTCTCTCTTCCTCTAAACTTTCTTACAAGACTAGTTAACAAACACGGGGAAAACACTCAAATCCAGAGGAACGCAAAGTTAAAACAGTCATGAAAGATGTTTTCTCTTACCCCAATCAGTAAAAAGTTCCCAATGATGAACTAAGGTAAGGTGAGAGCCACTGTGTAGTCACTGGCAACGGGAGGAATGACTAAACACACCCTTTTGGAAAAACGTGAAAATGTCTCAAAATATTAAATGACACCAACATTTTGCTTCAATACTTCTACTCCTGGGCATATGTCCGTAAAATACACAACAACACTGTGGCAATAAAACAACGATGAATCCCAATGGGTACTTTTTCTAGAACTGTGTGACACAAGAACACCAAAGTGGCTGAAGTGGAAGACAAGGGACTAGTTCCAAAATGTTTGGTATGACATGCTAAGCAGCTATGACAGGACTTGCTGTGATTTTAGGCCAGCAAAACATCTTGGCAGCAATCCTAGTGGAGGACGTCCTAAACCAGTTTAGTAACAATGAGGATGCAGGAAAGCTGAATTCAAGTTTATCAATGAGAGAAAATCAACAGGACTTGGGGACCCCTTAGATGGTGGGGGAAAGAAAAGAAGAGGGGGCACCTGGGTGGCTCAGTCCATGATCCCAGAGCCTGGAATCGAGCCCCGCATCTGGCTCCCTGCTCAGCAGGGAGTCTGCTTCTGCCCTTCCCCTGCTCATACTCTCTCTCTCAAATAAATAAATAAAATCTTTTTAAAAAGGGGGTGGGGGGGGCGCCTGGGTGGCTCAGTC